ACTTTTCGTTTCTGATTTGAATGTATTTCAGAATAGCGAATCTAACTGTTCATGAGTCTCATATCGTCAGCAAGTTGTAGTATTGGCGAGTACGTCATTGTCAATAGGTAAATTGAATCCATCTTTGCTGTACAAATTTCGGCTGAGGATACTTCCCTTTTTCTCAAAGGTCAGGTTTCAGGGCGTTAGGGAGATAGTGCGTTACCCAAAACTTTGTTTTGTGATGCATACGAGTGCATAATAAATTAAAGACCAATTGACGGATTCATTCAAGGAACATATTTGGTTTAGATAGGTGGGACGAAATGTTGCATTGATTACGGCTTCGACTATATCATCGGTTAGGAAGCAACCCACTCCCAGTTGTCTAGCCGGGCTGAGTCCACTGGAGGATTATCTCCACCTGCGCCGCAGATACTATTAGCAGAGTCCACACTGAATGTTTCCTCTGGATCATCTCTTTCCCATGCTGCCTTTCGGCGCTTCCATATTATTAGCTTTGCTATCCGAGCCTTGCGGTGTGCACGTTGGTAGCGCTCTTTTGAATCGTAACTTTGCCTCTTGTTCTTTCGTCTCTTACCAAGCACGAAGGTTCGACTGGAGTCAACGCTTGACACGCTTCTGGTACTAATAGTACTCATCTAACAATCGTAGAGTATCAAAATGAGAACAAATGAGCGTTTAACGCAATTAGTATGACGCTTCGACGTGTGCTCACGTGCTCAGGCTCCCCATGCGGGACAGCCTGCCTATCGTTACTTGCTGCTTGGCTCATTCTTTATGGAAACAACTTGAATGAGAACTAATTACAATATGATATACATGTGAATAAAAATAACGGTGTACCTTTCCCTGGGAGTGATGTGATGGGAGATGCGGATGTAGACTTTTTGAAAATACCTTTTGAACAAGATGACAAATTATGTTTTTTTCTTGTTTTTTTTTCCACAAAAACCGAACTGCTCTGATACCAAATTGTAACACCCGCCTTCCGTGAACCTGGTTCACCCGCGACCCAACGGACCGGTAGGGTTACATGGGCGGTCCGAGAACCGTCCGTTACAAAAACATTAGTGATTATTTAATGTGAAAACGGTTACGTTTGATTTATGGGATATTAAAGACTATTTATGATGAAAACGTTTGTTTTACTTGGTGAAATAAATGTTAGGAGTTATTCCCAAAAACGTGACTGATATAAATGTAGAGTAAAAGCGGAAGTAAATAAATGAGTAAAACGACAAATGGTGGGTTCATGCCCAAATAAATAATTAATTTAATGTATTAAGTTATTGAACTTGTCCATGCGCCGCCCATCTTCCACCATCACTGTCCTCCAGGGATAGCACCGGCACCGTCATGTCTACCTGCGTGTAGCAAAAACAACTACACGCTCAGCAAAAGCTAGGGAGTGAATCTAACAAAAGAACATTAAGTGATAACCCATATGGCCATACATATTAATACCTGTACCTAACGTACGGTAAACCACATGTTTACTAACTGGTTAATTTACACTTGTTGGGGTACTATTACACATAACAAAATGATGTACTACCACATTGAACACAAACATGATGGGGTACATACATGATGTTGACAACCACACTGAATGTTGTCGCGACATGGAACATACATGATGACTATATGACTTGATGCATGACTTATGCTATTAGGGACACCCCTGACTTAGTCTCACTTGACAGGATCACCCCTGCACTCCGGTAACGTCGCAAGTGAACTAGCAAAAAAACCGGGTGGTAGCCGTAGCCTGACTACCATGTACGTACACAAAGCCCACTTGATGAAAACCCGTTGGATCCCGAGGGTTCCTAGACGGGCCCGCTGTAGTAGGCACACAAAGTCCTCCCTACAACGGTATGCACATGATGAAAACCTAGGACATGCGTCTAGGATGAACATGATGAATACATGTGTTCAGATTGGACATGATGAATGCTTGATGCCAATAATATATCATATAATTAACATACATGCTGAAGATTAACATTTAATGCAAACACACAATCAGATTCTGAGTCAAAATGGTCAACGGGGCTCGTTCTACAAACTGCTCAAAATACTGCCCGCAGAACGGTCGACCGTTCCCTACCGGCGGTCGACCGTGGGCTACGGTCTGGGGTCTGGGTAACGAACGGTCCACCGTGGTCTTCTGTCGAGGCCGGCGGTCGACTGTCACGGTGGTGACCGTCAGGATGGCTGAGCGAAACGGTCCACCGTCTGTGGCGGCGGTCGACCGTCTCGATGACAGTTTTCTGTCTTTGGCTTTGTTTTGATCCGTTTTACAAACTTAACACCTTGATTCTTTTTAGAACAATAATGTAAACATTGATAAATATATTTCTAGTGATTCCTAGGCCAATATGTACAAGTTTTACGTAGTGAACGTTTTGATGGCTAACCTACGAACATGCATAGATTCTACGTAGGTTGCGTACGATATTCCTATGAATATAACAACATAGATTATAACTTGATGTTCTAGAATTAGAGGGAACAACTACTCACCTCTAAATGATGGAGTTGACGGAATTATATGACGAGATGAACGAATGGATGACGATGAATGAACGACAAATGGTTTCTCGTGGTCACCTCCTTCTCTTCTTCCTCCTCGTCTACTCGCCGAAACCGTCTCCCTGGGCCGCTACTGCTTGGCCGAACAAGAGATGGGAGAAGGGAGTTGAGTGTGTGAGTGGAGGTTACAAAATGTGATGGGGAAGTGAAGAGAGAAGGGGGGGTTTAAATGGAGAACATGAATGGGGAATTAATGGTTACTAATGAGGAATTAAAGGGAGAGGAGTTATGGGAGAGGAAGGGTGTGGCGTGGGAGAGGATTGGATGGGGAGTTATCTCCCTAAAATTTACTTCGTTGTGTAGAATCTGATCTGAACGGTACGCGCTTTTTCCCCCGAACGGGTCCGAATTGAGATCCGTTTGTGTTTTTGGAATCAGACAGACAGAACTAATTTAATGACATGTTCAAATAATTTTTCTAAGAACTTTTATTTTCAAACTTCCGGGTCCACCCCAATCATTAATTAATTTATTTAATTAATGTTGGGAGGTCCGTTATTAAAACATTTTTTTATTTTTAAAACAACATTAACCTTTGAAGTCCATTTAATGAGATCAAAATCTCAATATTTAGTATTTAAAACAATGAGTCTCAATAAATAAATAATATTTATTTATTTAAAACTAGGCCGGTTTGTAGGGCGTTACAGTTGATGATTGTTCTCGGGCTGTCTGGGTTTATTTAATTAAGTCCAAAAGTGAGGTCACCTCCTGTTTACGTCGTTTTTTCACTTTGATCCACACCCAGTTTTCCAAAACAATAAAAATTGTTCGTTCTGATAATGGTACAGAGTTTCTAAACTCCTCGTTGCGTCAATATTATGAAAGCTTGGGTGTGTGTATTCAAACGTCTTGTGTTGGTACCCCACAACAAAATGGGCGGGTAGAACGTAAGCATCGTCACATATTGAATGTCGCTTGTTCCCTTATGTTCCAAGCGTCTCTTCCACTGGAATTTTGGGGGGAGTGTGTTAAAACGGCAGTTTACCTAATTAATCGTACACCCACTAAAATTCTCAGTGGTAAATCTCCCCTCGAAGTTCTTTCTGGTAAACCCCAAGACCTTAGTCATCTTCGGGTTTTTGGGTGCCTCTGTTATGTCCATCCTGTTCCCAAACCCAAAAATAAATTTTCCCCACGAAGTGTCAAATGTGTGTTTATGGGATATCCATATGGGACCAAAGGGGGGAGAGTTTATAATCTTGACACACATAAATTTTTCCATACGATTGGTATTTCTTTTGATGAAACTACCTTTCTGTTTGCCGTTCCTACTCCCTCGTCTATTCCTCAACCCACTCTCACACCGTCCCCTGTTGATTTCGTCGTCCCTCCAACCTCCGTCACCCCTGCCGAACCGGTGTTGATTTCAAAATCCACACCCTCCCCTGTTGATTTCAAAATCCACATATTTTTGTGCTACTAAACAGTAAAATTGGAATTCTTATCTCCAATTCTAATTCATAGTTTGAATTTTGTGTACCAAACGAAGCTTTAGAAATATTAATTAAGAGTGTAGTTAGAATTTATTATTATCAAGATATGCAAATAGAGTACAACTCTGTTGAAATTGCCCAATGATCTCACTAGAAGTACCACTATATTTTTGAAGCATCTCTGATTCTCTGATGTTCCATTAATAAAAATTGACGGTTCCTATCCCACTAACTCATCCTTTAAACCCCACACCCCAGTTACACCCCTACCCCTACCCTAACCCTCCTGAACCTCTACAAGTGTGTGGCTATTATGTATTGTCCGGGATTACCCTTAACTTTATGAACAAAGCACCAGAGACGCTCCGAGCACTGCTAGTGGTATTGTTCAACAGAACCCCATTCATGTAAAAATTGTGAGTATATTTTCTCCGTCACTAAAATATTGTCACTTTGCACGTACTATTCCAAAGTCAAGGTAATTAAAATTTATTTATTTATTTATTTTGATAGATTATTTGATAAAAATGATAAATTTTTGGAAATTTTTTTATTTCTAAATCATTCTTAAGTAAAATTAATTTTTAAACATTTATACTTTACTTTATACGTAATTTAAATATACAATTTCCTAAATAAAACAAATTGGAGTAGCTTACTCCGTTTAGCATTTAAGATTCCCCTGGACGGAGTAACCAATTGCGTTCCATATATTTATTTAAAGAAACAGAGTAGCCAACTCTGTTCCAGATATTTAATTAACAAAACGGAGTAGCCAACTCCGTTCCTGTATTATTATTTTTTAAATCAATTTTTTGTTAGAATAAGTGACCAACGCTAGAGGGGGGGTGAATAGCGTTTGATCGTAGAAATCGCAGGAATAAAAAATTAAGAACGTGAAAAGTAAAGAGCGTAGAAAGCGAAAAGGGAGCACACCAAGATAGGCTCCAACGGACCAATGCATTAAAGGGGTGATTGGCTTGATTTATGGGATTGAAAAGATTTGGGATCTGCAGAATATTGGCTTCCCATCGATGTTTAGGACTTACCCATCGCTGGTAAGCCAATTTTCCTTCAGTTTTGAAGCCAACGGTTACCTACCCATCGATGGGTAAATGCTTCCCATCGCTGGGTGGGAGGTTGACTTTCAAATAAGGAAAGAATCAGCCTTAAATGACTCCCAACGGTCATGCCTTCCCATCGATGGTTAAGCCTTCCCATCGCTGGGTTCCCATCGATGGGTAAAGCTTCCCATCGTTGGGTAAGAGCATTCTGCCTTGTGGTAATGTTGTGCCAAGGCTTTCAAAGCTATGCAAGAGTCACAATGTTTTGTAGAGATCTCGGGTTTGTCGGCGCTTCTTTTACCATAAAATTTGTTTTCAACTTTTAGTTTTTCATTTTCCTTTTGAAGTTTTTCAAACTCAATTTCAAGATTAGAAAAACGTTTCTTTAAAGCTTTGTTGGTTTTAGAAGCGCTAACAAACTCGTCATAAAGCTCTTGGAGAGCTTCTTGCATTTCTTCAAAAGAATAAGAACTGGTAGAAGAAATACGTACCTCTTGGTTTTCGTTGTTGGCGGACTCATCTTCTTCTTGAGCTATGAGACAAAGATTTGCTTCTTCTTCTTCCCCTTGTTCGCTTGATTCATCGCCGGAGTCTCCACCCCAGGAGATGTATGCTCTTTGCCTTTTGAAGTGCTGAGCATTCCTTCCGCTTTTCGGGCATTTGTTCTTGATGTGCCCGGCTTCACCATCGTCGCTTGAGTCATTCATCGTTGGTTCTTTGAAGGCTTTTAATGCTATGCCTTTCCTTTGGTCATTCAAAGACGGGTTAAGTATAGTAGATTCATAGGTTTTTAAGTTACCTCTTAAACCGTCGATGGTGACATTTGATGTGCCGATTGACTCATAGATGGCATCGGCCTTAGATCGCCATTCAGATGTCAAGCTCCGTAGGCTCTTTCGTACAAGATCCCTGTCGGTGTAAGTCTTCTTCAATGCATGAAGATCATTGACTATCTTGGAAAATCGGTCGAACATGTCGTCGATCTTCTCGTGCTCCTTCATCCTGAACATCTCATATTCTTCGGTGAGGAAGTCAATCTTGGCTTCACGTACTTGGTCCGTTCCTTCGTACGTCACCTCAAGTTTATCCCACATCTCCTTGGCGGTTGAGCAGCAGGAGATCTTGCGGTAGTCATCAGGATTTACGGCACAATAAAGCATATTTATTGCCTTTGCATAATTCTCGACCTTTTTGATGTCCTCGGCATCAAACTCGTCTTCGGTCTTGGGGATCAACTTGTTTCCGACTTTCTTCATCGGCACCTCTTCCCCGTTTTTGATAACCAACCATAATTGGAAGTTCGTGGAACGAATATAGATTCTCATTCGTTCTTTCCAATATGTATAATTGGTTCCATCAAAAAGAGGTGGCCGTGTGGTTGATTGCCCTTCACCTATTCCTGCATACAAATTTCTAGAAGAAGAACCCATGATCGCTTTACTCTCAAACGGTTAAGTTTGGACGCGAGTTAGGCTCTGATACCAATTGTTAGAATAAGTGACCAACGCTAGAGGGGGGGTGAATAGCGTTTGATCGTAGAAATCGCAGGAATAAAAAATTAAGAACGTGAAA